GTTTTACTGGAGGAGCAGAGTGAGGGGATGAGGAATGACTAAAGGACTCTTTTTGATCATGGATGTCACTGGAACTTTCGTGATGGATATAGGGAATCCTAATCCTAGACACGTACAGAGGCTACACCCCTAAAATACCGTAATGTTGTAAAATAATGACAGATCAGTTTTTGAAAAAATCACCCCCCCACCTCCATAAAAATTTTACTGTTGAACCTGGGTAGAAAAAGGAAAAGTTGTCACAAGCTACCACAAACATAACAAGTCAACGAAGGAAATGGCCATTGATGTTTCACCTTAACTGGGATGGCACAAAATAACTGTCACTCTCACTGTCTTCCCATTGTTCATCGATTTGCTCCAGTGGGCCCAGTAACAAGTCTCCATCATGAGACTTGTTACTGTGTTTGGCATATCAAATATCTCACGGGGAGCTTGCCAGGCTCTGCCATGTGGGCGAGATATTCTCCGTAGCTTGCTGGGCTCTCCGAGAGGGGCGGAGGGTCAGCCGGGTTGGCCACGTGCAAGGCAAACGCCCTATCCACTGTGCTATTGCTCCAGCAAAAAAAAAAAAAAAAAAAAACATCAATTTTTCTTTCTTTCTGAAAGACTGACCTGACCTACCTCTGGAGAATATGATTTCAGGGCATAGTTATACATGTGCTCATACTCTGATGATCTGGAGAGGGACTTCTTTCTTCTCACTACTGGGTGGCTGCAGAATATCTTTATAGACTGAGTTTATTTATTTAATTTTGTAAGAAAAAAGATAGAGAATAAAAGGAATTTAATCATCTATTTAGTTATATACACTGTTTTGCATCTATTGTTAATTCAGAAATATAACAATTTTCTTTGAACATCATTTATCCCCCAAGTATATACTACCATTGGCTTTTTAAATATGTGATGAGACAATTTTTCCAGAAATTCATTATTATTCTAATCATTTTATTCAGTTGGGTTATATTCTAGTACAAAGGTCATGTTTATTTTCCACTCTAAAAATGACATGTTTTAGAGTTAGAGGTCTTGTCTTTTCTTAATTATTTTAAATCATATGATTGGAAAATTGCAAAATTCAGTGATTCCCAGTGGGCCTTCAGTTTCTTCAACAAAAGAGTGAAATTCTATTTGGTTGGCAGGCACACAAAGTATGTTAAACTGCAATGGACTTTATCATTATTCTTCTAAGACCTTGGGATAAATAAATTTCACCTAGTAAACTCCTCCTCCAAGGTTACAGCAATTATGTAGTTGCAAGTATTTAAAAAGGCAGTTTCTGAAATTAATTTTTTTATAACAAGTCAAGTACCAAGACAAAAGAAAAGTTAGAAATTATTGCAAATATATGGCTATTCATAGTTCCCATGAAAGAATGATAGGGGCTTTTAGTACATTTTACAGTAAAAATGCCTGTTTTTTAAAAAAATGTAATTATATGGCTTTAAAGCACCTTTACAAATTCACAGGAACTTAGACTGAACTTTGATACCTTTGCCATAGCCTTTTCTTTAATGGATTTTGATTTGGATTGAGTAGTTTTTATGTTTTTTTCCTTCAGATTTGTCCTTGTGTATGAGTGTATGAGGAATATAGACACAACATGTACAAATTTTGAACGATATTATCTGCAAGCATTATGTTTAGACAGACAGACTATACTACATGTTTAAAAGCATATGTTAGAAGTGTAATCAGTTCCTTAATCAGTTCCTAAGAATGAGAGCATTGCATTTCAAAGGAAGTTAATACTCAATATACAAGAGTTCCCCTTATGCTATTAGCTTTGTTTTGGAATGATATCATCACAATATTCAATATGTCCAGAACTGAAAGTAAAATACATGCTAAACTGAACTATGATGTAATACTTATCCACTAGGAATATAGATTCTACGGAACTGATCATTTTAAATTTAATTTTTACTTATTTTTAGTTTTGGGTCCACATCTAGCAGTGCCCAAAGTTTACTTCAACTCTGTGCTTGAGAATTGCTCATGACAGTAGTAAGGACCATGGAGTGCTGGAGGCTGAACTTGGTTCTCCTGCATGCAAAAGCATGCACTCAGTGATTGAGTAATCACTCTAGCCCTGACTTTTCAATACTATACTTACATTTACTCTTATGATTAAATCTTTACCTAAAGGGCTAGTGTATTTCAGAAGGGAGAGCAGTGCATCTCCATAAATAAATCTAAGCTAGTTAGTATGATTTCTAAATGCATCTAAAAAACTTATTCAAAGTTATGACGAGTCAGATTGCCTAAAATACAAAACGAGGGGAATGTAGTGAAAGATTTGGTCACAAAAAGAAGTGGCTTTGCTCCTTTAAAAAAATAGAAACTTTTAATTTAGTTTTTTTTTTTTGGACTGTTGAGGATAATAGCAGAAGAACAGAAGAGAGTCATAATCATATACTAGTTTTCTTTTAAAAAGTGATTTGACAATGTAGATCAATGGCATCAACAAAAGAGAACCCCTTTAGTAAAGATAAGAGGAAATGAAGGCCATATTCAACACACTCTTTCACTGAGTTCATTGTCATTCTTGGTGGGTTCAAATTCTGTGACTGAAGATACAGTCCATCAGCTAGTTAGAGCTCTCAGGGTCAGAAACCGGGAGTCACTGCATTCCTTCTAGATGATATAATGATTCTAACTCTATATTAGTTTCATGTTCTTTTGCATTTTCTCTTTTATTCTTGTTTTTAACAATAAATTAGACAGCTATAAATTGAATTCTTTTATCATTTACCAACAAATAGGATTAGCGATTCTATGAGAAAACTTGAAAAAATGACATGTATATGAAAATAATGTCACAGTCACGGTCCTCCCGTTGTTCATCGATTTGCTCGAGCGGGCCCAGTAACGTCTCCATTGGAGACTTTGTTGTTACTGTGTTTGGCATATCGAGTACGTCACGGGTAGCTTGCCAGGCTCTGCCGTGCGGGCGAGATACTCTTGGTACTTGCCAGGCTCTCCAAGAGGGGCGGAGGAATCGAACTCGAGTAGGCCATGTTGGCTGCGTGCAAGGCAAATGCCCTACCACTGTGCTATCGCTCCAGCCATGAAAATAATGTAACTTATGTAATATGCTCCATAAAATGATTACTGTTGAAATAACTAATTGTCTTTTATTGTTTTGGTAGATTCATATAAATCTATGAGGGTAATATTAAATTATATATTTTCCCCCACTTCCTCCTATTTCTTATTGTAAAAATATATCAAACCAAAGAACTGCACACATGCACACACACACTAGGTATTTCATTTTAAGAAATGTTTTTCATTTTTTTTCCTTTTAATATTTTGCAATCACTGGCTGAAATGATTGCACAGCAGGTAGGGTGTTTGCCTTGCACACTGCCGACCCAGGTTTGATTTCCAGCATCTCATATGGTCCTCTGAGCACCACCAGGAGTAATTCCTGAGTGTATGAGCCAGGAGTAACCCCTGAGTATCACTGGGAGTGACCCAAAAGGAAAAAAAATTGCAATCACTTTAGTAGAAATAATATGGTCCAGTTCTGAAGTTATGGAACTTGGGCAGTGGCCTATAAACTTGTGTGATAAAATTATAAAAATATCAGCTGCCTCCATTTTCCAGGGAAGAGAATTGAGGAAGAACTGGGATAAGGTTAACATTGGCATGTGACCATTTTCTTTTCTGACCTGGGTAGACTTCTTGAGAAGAATTTGGAGAGAGAATCTTTGGATATGGCTGAAATGCTTTGAATCACTTGAGTGTTGAGCTTGATTAAAATTCTAAATTTTTCTTTGACACCGCTGCTGATCTCTTGATCTATTTTCACTTTTAGTTCTACTAATGTGTTTTTTTTTTCTTCCTCTGGGGGTGGTGAGCAGTCTATAAATAATACTTTATGTAGAGCTTCCTCTCATCTCTGCCCTTTGTTCTCATCTTTTAGGGAGTTAGGTAAGCATTTAGCCTTTTCTAGGAAAACATTTTCAATCATTAAACCATTGGGTAAAGAATGTAGAAAAACAATTTTTAACCCCCTCTTTTAAGTCCTGTCTTTATCTTTTTCAATACTTTCAGAAGGTTTAAAGTGAGTGAAAGAAGCTTTTTGCTCTGAATCATGATGGGTAGCAAAATGATACTTTTGTTGGTTTTCTATTAGAGTATAAGAGAAGTTTGGATGTAGAATACATAGACACAAAAAAGTGTTAAAGAAGTCTTGCTCTCTATTCTACCAGGCTATTTTTATTGCTATGTATTGCTAAGTTATCAAAATGTCTATGACTCAGGGAAAGATGCAGTCCCGAGAGGGGAGTTTGTTCCCTAGCTAAGGTTGATACAAGATCTGCTGTGATCAGAATTAGATGCATTCACTGTGTTTGTGTATTTTTAAACACATGTGAAGTTAGACGTAAAGAATAAAGCTTCTATTAAAATCTCAATGAGAGGTAAACTTGTGTCAGCTAAGGAATATTAAAATAATACATAGCAACACATACTGGCCTTCTTTAAGCACTTAAGACAAATTTTGTATTCATTTGGCCACTTCACACACTATATTTTTTAAATATTTATGATAAATATTGGTTCACAGCTAAATATTGCCTTATATAAACTTGCCTTGTAAAGTGACAACAGAATTTTCACAATTGTGACGGGTTTTGCACATTGTAGCTTCTTCCCAGAAGAATTTTTAAAAGCTTTTTTGCCTACCTTATGTAAAAAATTCAGTTAAATAATTGTGCTTCAGTATTTCATGGTTATATATAGACAGAAATAAAACCAAATGACTCCTTTTAGTTTGTTTTCTTTCTAACAATAGAGGAAGGGTCGGTTTAGTGACTGGTGTATTTATAAAGGTAATGTAATTAATGATACAATGAGCTTTTAAGACTCCACAAATGGAGGAGACATTTTGGATGTGATGGTGGGGGTGGAGAGGAAAATTTGATGCTGCTATTTCCAGAGGCAGTTAGAACACTTTTAATTGCTATTCACTAATCTCTTGTTCCTAGGTGGATTAAATTTGAAGAAAAAGTGGAACAGGGAGGAGAGAGATGGAGCAAGCCCCATGTGGCCACATTATCCCTTCATAGCTTATTTGAGCTGAGGACATGTATGGAGAAAGGATCCATCATGCTTGACAGGGAGGCCTCTTCTCTCCCTCAGTTAATGGGTGAGTATGTTGTTTAAGTTCTTATCCTTTCCTCAGCTTTACCTACCAATCCATGAGTTTCCAGCATGCATCCAGTATCCACAAAGCAGTATATTCCAACGTATCTTTCTCTTTTTAACATGATAAAACTAGCATGATTTATTGTAAACAATTTGCAAAATACAGACAAAAATTCAGAAGAAGCAAAATTAGTCATTTTTCATCCTTTGGGCTATAGCCATTAATAACATCTTAATATTGTTTTATTCACGTTTACTTCTCAATATTCTTTTTTTTCACACTTGAAAAAAATGCAATTGTGATCATATGTGTCTGTTCAAATTTACACCCACTTTCATAATGATTAGCATAAAATTAACATTTGGGATATTAACATGCATAAACATAACATTGTCCTCTGGAAATCTGGACTGGAAATCTGAACACAAGATTTTTAGAATTTTTTTCACTTTGGATATTGCACAGAGCTTCTCTACCTCATTTTCAGAATCTCTAAAAGAGGATTTGAATCTTCTGTAAGAAGGAAAATAGTCTAGGCTCAGGGGAGAGGGCACACATTGTAGGTGGAAGTCGGGCCTCTTCAGTTGTGTGTAGAGAATGATTGCACTGGGAAAAGGAGCCATAAGAAAGTATCTTAGTGACTGAGTTGGGTCATGTTGGTACCGAGTACAACTCCTGGCAAGGTACTTAGCTTTATGGGGTGTGGGAGCCTTGGCATGCTTTGCTTTAAGTGTTATGTGCATTGGATGTCTGACTTACTACGTTGAACACATTGTACATATATCACTACATTCCAACTAGTTGTGATTGTTTTAATTTCCTAGCCAGAGCTTGGCTGAAACTGCCATATCCATTTTATATCTAGATGTACTGAATATTTTTTTTTCAAAAACTGGTGAAATTGTTTTACGTGTTTTACAAGAAAATCTATAACCAGCTGGCCACTGGAATTGTAGGGATGAGCTCACTCTCCCAAAGGACTTTCAGGCTGCCTTCCTTGAGTTTGTGGGGACAAGGGTGGATTGTGGCCACATCAAAAGATAACCAGTGTAAAGTTCCTGTGTAATTTTAGACACCACAAACTTTCTTTGAATATATGTAGATAGAAAGCTTGTCTATGGCATTTGTGCAAAGCGATAGCATTTATATTGGAAGAAATCACACAGACACACACATACACATGCACGCATGCATGAGCGCGCACATACACGCACACATAAAATAGCTAGAAGTATATGCATCTAGTTCTTCAGAGAGTGGGTTTGATTTGCAAAGAAGTCCCATGATTTTTACCTGTCTAAGATTTTGCTTAAATTGTAAGTGGAAAAGAGAAAAAGACAAATGTGAGGACATGAGGTAGAAGAAATTAGTTTTTACACTCATTCACCATGGCGTATATGCTTGCAGTTCAAGACCTGGAGTTATGTTTCCAAGTCTACCACAGGGCAAATGAGGTAACTTACAAGCTCCTATCCACATAGCTAAGTAAAAGATAATGTTGGAAGTACTGTACATAGAAATTTCTCATTTGAGAAGGCAGAAGTGGCTGAAAATGGACTTTTAATAGTTGAGGCAAGATCTTGGATTATTGTCTTCAGGGAAAAGTAGAGCTCAGCTACAAAGAAAAACTAAAGATTGTTTTTGTGTTTTATACCTCACACCTCCCACTATTTGTTAAAATTTGCAAGAAAGGCTACAATCTAAAAAGCATCATGTTTATTTAAAATCAATTCTGTTTTGTGTGAAAATTAGAATTTTTGTGTTCCTATAAAGATCTAATCTGGGGCTGGATAGACATTGTAGAGGTTATCCTGAATGTGGATGATCGTATTTGATTTCCTTAGCCTGCATGTGGTCCCCCAACCACTTTCAGGCATTAATAGTCTCAATTCAAAGATGTATGAGTAGCTCCACAAATATAAAGTAATGACTCTAACGCTAATGTAAGCTATTATGTATTATTAATTCTTTAAATTAAAATAATTATAAATTCTTTCAATTAAAAGGAAAGAAATAGACCATAGAGACAGTAGGAGGTTAAGGTACTTGCCTTGTATATGTACATCCTCTTTCAATCCCTGGAGCCACATGGTGTCTAAGCACCACTAGGAGTTAACCTTTAGAAACAGGAGTAAATCCTGAGCACCACCACCACCTCAAAAAAACCAAGATTGGGGAAGTTGAAAAATAATCCAGAAGTACTTAATTGCAGGGTGAAAGAGAACTTTAATTTGGGTCTAGGCAGTCTATTGGCAGTCTAAAGAAAAATGTATATTGTGGTCTAATGATCACCAGAAAATTTCGTGTATTAGAAAAAGTTTCATAATAAAGCTACACGAATAGCTAAAGCAGTCCTTGGGAAAAAGAAGATGAGAGACATCCCCTTCCCCAATTTTAAACTGTACTCCCAAGTGGTAGTAATTAGAACAGCATGGTATTGAAATAAAGACAGACCTGCAGATCAATGGAATAGAGTTTGATATCCTGACACATTTTTTTCATTCATTTCATCATCCTGTTAATCGTCGATTGCCTCGAGCAGGCCCCAGTAACGTCTCTTTCATCCTAGCCCTGAGATTTTATTCACGGCTCTTTAGGAGAATGAGACCCATCATTGTTACTGGTATTTGGCATATTTGGTAGGCCACGGGGAGTTTGCCAGACTCTGCCCTGTGGGCAGGCTACATTCGAAAGCCTGCAAGTTTGTCCAAGGTAGGAATGAGATAATAAGATGTCATAAAGAAAAGTTCTGATAAGTGTGCGGAGAGTGGTCTCAGCATGGTGGTGGCTGGTCCTGGAGGTCTCCGGCTGCCGTAGCCCTGGCCGGGGCGGGGAGGAAAGCTCAACCCGCTCCCCTCCAAGGGACTCCGGGAAGGAACACCGAGGCGCGGGGGCAGAGACTGCACTGCTCTCGTCCGGGATCTGGATTTTATAGTCTCTGAGTCTTGGCCGCTGATGGGATTACACGGCGCCAGGGGGCCAGGTGGTGGGTGTGACCCCCGCCTACTGGAATTTGGAGGATCTGGGTGGAAGATGCTCGACTCCAATTCGAGTAGGCTTGGAGGTCTCGGCCCCGGAACCCGCGTGGCTTTGTCCCTCTGCCAGTACCTTCAGGTGTGCGGAGAGTGGTCTCAGCATGGTGGTGGCTGGTCCTGGAGGTCTCCGGCTGCCGTAGCCCTGGCCGGGGCGGGGAGGAAAGCTCAACCCGCTCCCCTCCAAGGGACTCCGGGAAGGAACACCGAGGCGCGGGGGCAGAGACTGCACTGCTCTCGTCCGGGATCTGGATTTCATAGTCTCTGAGTCTTGGCCGCTGATGGGATTACACGGCGCCAGGGGTCCAGGTGGTGGGTGTGACCCCCGCCTACTGGAATTTGGAGGATCTGGGTGGAAGATGCTCGACTCCAATTCGAGTAGGCTTGGAGGTCTCGGCCCCGGAACCCGCGTGGCTTTGTCCCTCTGCCAGTACCTCTCAGCATGCTGAGACCACTCTCCGCACACCTGAAGGTACTGGCAGAGGGACAAAGCCACGCGGGTTCCGGGGCCGAGACCTCCAAGCCTACTCGAATTGGAGTCGAGCATCTTCCACCCAGATCCTCCAAATTCCAGTAGGCGGGGGTCACACCCACCACCTGGCCCCCTGGCGCCGTGTAATCCCATCAGCGGCCAAGACTCAGAGACTATAAAATCCAGATCCCGGACGAGAGCAGTGCAGTCTCTGCCCCCGCGCCTCGGTGTTCCTTCCCGGAGTCCCTTGGAGGGGAGCGGGTTGAGCTTTCCTCCCCGCCCCGGCCAGGGCTACGGCAGCCGGAGACCTCCAGGACCAGCCACCACCATGCTGAGACCACTCTCCGCACACCTGAAGGTACTGGCAGAGGGACAAAGCCACGCGGGTTCCGGGGCCGAGACCTCCAAGCCTACTCGAATTGGAGTCGAGCATCTTCCACCCAGATCCTCCAAATTCCAGTAGGCGGGGGTCACACCCACCACCTGGCCCCCTGGCGCCGTGTAATCCCATCAGCGGCCAAGACTCAGAGACTATAAAATCCAGATCCCGGACGAGAGCAGTGCAGTCTCTGCCCCCGCGCCTCGGTGTTCCTTCCCGGAGTCCCTTGGAGGGGAGCGGGTTGAGCTTTCCTCCCCGCCCCGGCCAGGGCTACGGCAGCCGGAGACCTCCAGGACCAGCCACCACCATGCTGAGACCACTCTCCGCACACCTGAAGGTACTGGCAGAGGGACAAAGCCACGCGGGTTCCGGGGCCGAGACCTCCAAGCCTACTCGAATTGGAGTCGAGCATCTTCCACCCAGATCCTCCAAATTCCAGTAGGCGGGGGTCACACCCACCACCTGGACCCCTGGCGCCGTGTAATCCCATCAGCGGCCAAGACTCAGAGACTATGAAATCCAGATCCCGGACGAGAGCAGTGCAGTCTCTGCCCCCGCGCCTCGGTGTTCCTTCCCGGAGTCCCTTGGAGGGGAGCGGGTTGAGCTTTCCTCCCCGCCCCGGCCAGGGCTACGGCAGCCGGAGACCTCCAGGACCAGCCACCACCATGCTGAGACCACTCTCCGCACACCTGAAGGTACTGGCAGAGGGACAAAGCCACGCGGGTTCCGGGGCTGAGACCTCCAAGCCTACTCGAATTGGAGTCGAGCATCTTCCACCCAGATCCTCCAAATTCCAGTAGGCGGGGGTCACACCCACCACCTGGCCCCCTGGCGCCGTGTAATCCCATCAGCGGCCAAGACTCAGAGACTATAAAATCCAGATCCCGGACGAGAGCAGTGCAGTCTCTGCCCCCGCGCCTCGGTGTTCCTTCCCGGAGTCCCTTGGAGGGGAGCGGGTTGAGCTTTCCTCCCCGCCCCGGCCAGGGCTACGGCAGCCGGAGACCTCCAGGACCAGCCACCACCATCCTGACACAGAACCTCAAATATATGATCAATTAATCTTTGATAAAGCAGCAAGAAATATGAAGTGAGTAAGGGAAGACTCTTCAATAAGTGG